AAAAAAAAAAAAATCGGCCCTCTCGGGAGAACTTTCGGGAAAATCGCAATTGTCGAAATAAATCGATTTTAGGAGAGTGAAATTATTTGAGAAAGACAGGCAAAGACAGACACTTTCAAGAAATAGTGTAAAATTTTAATTTCCAACATTTGATTATTGGACATTGTAATGTTTGTTTTGCAAATCGACAAGACAAACCCATATTCAAATTTATCGTTTATGAGACAAATTTTTAACGATCAATTCAGATTTAAATCGGGTAGATGCATCGCGCGGCGAAGGAGAGGACGTCGGGCGTACATCGAGTTTGTTTTTGTAGACCGGTGAAGAGCATCTCCTCTCGGAGGGATTTCCCGAAAAGGCCCTCTCGTCGGGAGTCGGGAGACGCCGAATGTTGGATGTGTGTCTTGGCTAATTGAATTCAAAGAGATTTATGGTCGGCACCGGCGCGTTGCGCGACGAATAAAAACGACAGAAACGCGCGCGCGGCGCAGTTCTCCCGCTGTCGAGATTCCTTCTCTGGACTGTCGCCCCAGCCGAAACGTTGATAAATGTTTTTACCGGGCCAATTAACGTTAGCAGACCGGCGGAGAACTTTAGCTTATGATTACCGATGCTAATCGCGCGAATTTTTGGCGCGTCTGCTAGATCTCGGTTAATCACACGAGCAAGAGTAAAGCTGATTCGGAGATGTTAATAATAACAATTGATATATCAATAATACTAATTTGTTTTTAATTGTAATCACTTGTGTTTTATATTTATGTTTTTTTTTTAATATTTTCTGTCAAGTATGTATATATACAAATGCACTTTTCGTAAGCGTTTCGTATGCTAATTATTTACGTTTCAATCTATGCATTTAAATATTAATGTGTCAATAGTTAATGTAACAAACTAGTATGTATTTCATAACATTTCCTTGTCTATCACAATTCGAAATATCAATATAGATTTTGATTTTCCAAATAATAAGAAAGAAAATATATATGTATATATTTATAATAAATATATAAAATTTGTACAAAATAAAAGAAATTTCACAAGCCATAACTGTTGTATAGACACAACTTTTTACGATTCAGTTTGAATATATTTTTATACGCTACTACTACTAGATGGCACGAAGGTATATACGTACATATATAAAATGAATCTCGCGAGTGCAACTTGCAGCAAGTGGCCGGATAATGCAATAATTTATTATTTCCATGCGAGCCCCGCGAGCGTTGTATGTATCACGATGAGTTAATATACACATGTATCTTTTTCTTCATTTGTATATACGTGTTACTATGTAACGGTCGTAAATAGCGTTCTGTAAATAGCTGCGTGATAGATTTTAACGGAGCTTTTGACGATGATATCTCGATATCCATTCCGTCGACTCGATGCTATTCGCATTTTGCTTATTTATCCGAGCGCTCTCGCTCGCACATTTGTAATGTACAATATTTTTATACTCGCTGCGACAAATAAGAAAAGAGATGATGGAAAAAATATCGGAGTAAAAGTTTCTTTCTTTCCACCTCCCTTTAAATCAAGCCGCTCTTTTATCTTCGTCCTATTTATATCCTGCCGTACAGATATTTTAAGAATTTTTAACTATAAATTCCCTTTAATTATGAATATATTTTGTAACAATCTTGCGAACGCTTATAATGTCAAACACGCATAACGAGCGTCTGCGAAACACACAGACATTCTCGGATTATAAATTAGGAAATTCACACGAAATGACGAGATTGGAGAAAAGAGGATACATTCGCGGTTACATGTGAGATGAGAGAACGAAAAAGGAGAAGAGAGTGGACGGAAAAGACTCGATAAATAATTTATCAAACTTTATCCGAGAGACGACGGCGGCAGCCTTAATGGAATTAGACGTGCCAGTGCAAATATTATTGCAAGCAACGGACCCGAACAGAGACCTCGCCCACCTCGCTTCATTGGTCGAAAGCCATGTCATTGTGTTCTGCCTGGACCAATCGTGTAAGATCGGATGGGATACTGGCTTTCCTCTCTCCGCTCTATCGTCACATCCAAGGATGTTGAAGCGCGAGAATGAGAAATTGCAAGATGGTTTTATAAGCGTTTTGCTCTCTGCCAACTCGATTACTTCATATCGATATCTAAATTATCCATCGAAAATTAATTAGACTCTAATGACAAATGTATTTCTCATATACATCTTAACTTTTAATAAATTTAATAAATTTTCTCTCTTAAAAGGCAAGAGTTTTTTTTTTGCTTTACACAAATTAGAAACTCCAAATTTTAATTTTTTATAAATCAGATATACATGTCCCATAATTCGCGGATCACCTCTCATGTGCATATAAAGCACGTTAAATTGAATAGGAAAGACCTCTACCGTTTTGTGATCTTCATGACAATTAATAAGAAATTAATTAAAAAAGGTCGGCCAATCTGTACTTTGCACAAGCGTGCAGCGAGAGGAAACTTCTTACTGTTATGCGGTTGCTTGGCGCGCGGTGAAGCGGTGGGAGGGGCGCTTTACAAAGACTATGTTCGACACGAGGCTCCAGCGTAGAGAGCGCCCCTCTCACCGCTTCGCCGCGCGCCAAGCAATCGCGTAACAGTAGGAAGTTTCTTCTGGTGATTCGCAAATTATGGGACATCCTGTATATATATGTATATATATGAATTCCAAAATCTTAATTTTTTAAAAAGCTAATCAATTTAGTTATATGCTCAGTGGGAAAAATAATTGAAAAGTTCAGATATAAAATTATACATGTGTGTTCGAGCCATTATATTTACGCGTTAAAACTCTGCACTTTGGAAATTTTTATCTCATTTTATTATTTTCATTAGCAGGTCAATGGGGGAATGAAGATGAAAAGTTGATCTCTAGCTGTAAAAACACAAAATTGTGTTGAACAAATTCTTGAATTAACGGAACTTGATATTATCAATCACTATCGATAAAGAACATTAAGATTATTACGTTAACAATAAGCGAATAACATCGGGTATACAAATCTCCATTTTGTATCGTAACGACATATTCGAGACACATGATGTGTATATGTAATGACAAGAGTACGAAAAACAATGCAGCGTATGTAACAGTGACATTAAACATTGAAACTCGTAAAAGCTGCTCGCTCCAGTATAATCGGCGTCTGGAGCCGCTGGAAGGATTTCCATCAACTTCGCAAGTTCGTAAATAAAACGTCATGTGCACGATGGGTCGCTATGTTTAGTTTAGGCGCGGTTTCTCAGATTTCCAGGATCACCCCGTGAGAGAAAGTTAGACAGATCTTTCATTACTGTTATGGCTCCGTGATCGCAACGCAACATGATCCTAATCCCATTTCCACAACGAGAAAATAAATTCTTTCGATTTTGATAATATATTATAAAAAGAATATATATACATATATGGAAAATACGATGAAAAAAGCGATAAACATTGAGTAACATTGCGTCTTATGACATTTATTCTGATTATACATCTAATTTAATTCTTAGTATAATTCGTAATGTAAAAAGATTTATTATGATTGCAATCTTTAAAATGTCGACCTCAGTTTAATTTCTTACAATTTATTCAAAATATCCCGTATTGTTAATCACAATCTTTATACATAAAAAATAATTACCTTCGCATCGTGACTAGAAGAGAAGAAGATGGGTTCGATGAGAGAAAAGAATCGCGCGGAAAAATGCAACAGTCGGAGATGCTGCCGAGACAAATATATGTTCTCTGTCTTTTCCTATTAAATTACCACAATCTCTGTCACTCCCTTCGTTTTCTTCAAGAATGATGAATCGCCCATCGTTAGTACCAGTGGAAGCGTGTGCTTTTCCATCATGTGTTGTGCTCCATTTGCATACATATATTTATATCTGAATAGGGCCAATCTCTCCCCTCCTTCTTCCGTGATGGCGCACTTATTCGTACACCACGACGGGTTTTATGCCGGTAGTAAACCGTTCCGCGCCGGATTATGGCACTCTCCTACGATGAACGTGGATAAATACTGTGCGGGGAACCACCGTGCCGGGGTTCCGGTGTGAGTCTCGCGGTGATAGAGCGACCACGTGGATAGAGAGAGGCGTCGCCGCGGATAGAAATAGAAACGCGTGAAAATCCATCGTGAGGGAAGTTGATGGCTGGACTTGTGTCTTGAGTAAATCGTCATCGGAAGAAACCATACAGAATAAAACAATGATTAATTTCTCTCTCATTGTCGTTCTAGAAAAA